GTACTCACTCAAATAAGTATTCAGTAATATTAATGAACCACATGGACTTATAGAGAGCCTAAGTCCCACTCATCCGCTTCCGGCTCATGGGACCTTATTTCGGGAAAAAATATGAATGGTAGTCAATGGCGAGAGACAACTTATCTTTTTATTTCGTCTGAGCTGTGCCCTCAATTACACATATGATGTTTGTCAATTTAAATGATAATTCTGAAAGTCAAAAACGTCACAGTTTGTCATAAAACAGAAGAGTAACATTTAGTTTTATGTGAAAATCGCTCTGTGAACTACATCCCAGGAAGCGAAACAACGAGCGAGATCGTGTGTGCAGTCTACAAAACACCCAGGTATGACGGCGTAACGTTACGATTGTAACGTAAGACTATAGAAACAATGACAGACATTAGCCTCAGCAAAGTTAGCTTCATTCATTGAAAGAAAATGTGCGCCTTTGGGGTTTGTAGTCTTTGTAATTACGTATTTTCACAGTCTTATAACTCAACGGTTTCACATCAAACTGCGACTCTCTTTACTTTAAAATGTATCTTTTAAATTGACAAACATCATATGTGTAATTCAGGGCACAATTCAAACGAGATCAAAATATTTGTAGTCTCTCGCCATTGACTACCATACAATATTTTTTCTGAAATAAGGTCCCATGGTGGTCGACCGGAAGGGGAGGGACTTAGGCTCTCTATAGAGTTACGGTTAGGGTTTGGTTTAGGGTTAGTTGTACTTATATGCAGTTTTTACTGTTATTACTATAGTAACTACATGTATTGCTACATCCCGTTAATATATAAAGTGTTACCAAATATTAATCTTAAGGATTAATATTCTGTCACCCTCATGTTGGGCCACACTCAAATAGCATTATTTCAAGCTTCGTAAAAGTGGTCCATCCATTCGACCATGTAGATATGTGTGAGGAACAGATTGAAATGTATGTATTTACTTTACTGCTATACCTCCCCTCCAGTGGGCCACAGAGTGCAAGAGTTGGACTTCTGAAGTAAAAATCCCATTATTTTTCTCCATAGGGGAACAGATTTTTAACAATAACTTAACAAACCTTTAAAAACAGATCTAAATTAATCTATGATATACGCTTTTGTTGAAGCCAGCAGTCGGTATTTGATTTATTTATTTATCTTATATTTAAATAATCACATTTAACAGTGGAATTGTGGTGAAAATGTATTGTTTCTCTATACATAATCAACATCTTTAAATCAGTTGTCTTATATTTAGCCTTAGTTTCTATATTTTGGTGAAATATTTGAAAATACTACTAAAACTTAATTTTGGAAAAATCTGGCTTTCTATTAATGCAGTGAATGACAAGCGTCCACGGTCTCCCAGTGACTTACTTTATTGTCAGTTTAGTGTTAAAATCCGCTTGTAGTCAATACTTTTATAGTTTAAACTCATCTTTGATAACCAAAATGACATATTTAAGTTCCGTTTTGTTCTGTTTATGCCTTAAAATATCTTGAATGTATCTCGACACCCTTGCCTCGTTTAGTATGCACGGTTCTATGAATATGCAAATGAGCCCCGCCTCCACTCACTCACTCAGCTCAGAGATCCACTGGTTGACGATCACACGTTGATCTGATTGGTTACAAGGTCGTTTGTGACGTCAGCGATTTTTCAGTCTTAGGTTCACTGCAGTTTTAAGCAGAAAATACTCAGCAATGCTGTCGACTTATGAATTTACGCATGGATTGTCATATTAAAGCATATTAAAAACACCACATAAACAATATTAAAACTTGGATTTTCCCCACAGGGGGACTTGAAGCTTTTCCAGCATTGTGATTCTCTTTGTAGACAATATGGTTATACAATCTTTTATAGGCGTATTCACGCTTGAACACACTAAAGTTTGACAACATTATTTTTCAATTCATTACTTCTGTATAGATTTATATATTAAGTTGCTCAAGCAAGTGACAAAACATTTAAACATATGTTTCTTATGTTAAAATCACTAATATTTAAAGATAAAACGTACAATTGACAAACACAGCCTATTATGCCTTTTCTTTTGCATTTAAATCTTTATATAAGATGTCCTGCGGGTCATAAAGAACTTTATGTTGCTCACGGTCACGGAGAGACGAGTGCCATCCATTACGCTGCCTTGTTTATCTAAATGTGAGGAAAGGTTTTGGTTTTCCTTGCTTAACCCCGGGCAAACCCCGAATGTTGACTGTGAAACAGAAAAGTTCAATTAAATGCATCTGGAAAAATTACTACATTGCATGTCAATGATCCATGCTCGTTTTATTTATGCAAACAGTTTCTTAAATTCAGCAAAAATAGACTGGGTGCAGAAACGCTGTAAACCTGGTGTAATGTGTGCTACTGTAGCACTGTGCAAATGTCAGCCAATTAAACTCAACACATTTGACCTGTCTCACCTGTATAGGCTCACCCGTGATCTTGTGAACTGTCCATAGCATCTCATACAAAGTTGACGTTAATTAGTCTGTGGATTCCCATAGAAGCCTAGTTCACACTAGAGCCAGACCGATTTATCGGCAGGCCGATATTATCGGCCGATATTAGGCATTTTCCAAACTATCGGTATCGGCAGTTATAATGGCCAATAAATGAATATTAAAAAAATAAAATAAAAATGGACGAAATACGCTCGAACCATGTCATGAGTGTTGGAGTTGTATAGAGAGCCTAAGTCCCGCCCCTCCGCTTCCGGCTCATGGGACCTTATTTCGGAAAAAATATGAATGGTAGTCAATGGCGAGAGACAACTTATCTTTTTATTCCGTCTGAGCTGTGCCCTGAATTACACATATGATGTTTGTCAATTTAAAAGATAATTCTGAAAATCAAAAACGTCGCAGTTTGTCATAAAACAGAAGAGTAACATTTAGTTTTATGTGAAAATCGCTCTGTGAACTACATCTCCCGGGAAGCGAAACGAGATCCGCTGCTCGTGTGTGTGCAGTCTGGAACAAAACACTCAGGTATGACGGCGTAACGTTACGATTGTAACGTAAGACTGTAGAAACAATGACAGACGTTAGCCTCAGTAAAGTTAGCTTCATTCATTGAGAGAAAATGTGCGCCTGGGGTTTGTAGTCTTTGTAATTACGTATTTTCACAGTCTTATACCTCAACGGTTTCATATCAAACTGCGACATTCTTTACTTTAAAATGTATCTTTTAAATTGACAAACATCATATGTGTAATTCAGGGTACAATTCAAACCAGATCAAAATATTTGTAGTCTCTCGCCATTGACTACCATATAATATTTTTCCGAAATAAGGTCCCATGGTGGTCGACCGGAGGGGGAGGGACTTAGGCTCTCTATAGTTTGTCCACCAGAGGGCACTTTACACAGTCCCTGTTAACCACAAAGCCAGCTAATGCCACTATCATCAGTGGAAGACCACTAACGTTAACATTAATGAGCTTTGGTTCCTCTGTTCTGTTGTGACAATAAAGGAAACAAGTTTCTTTTTAAAATGCATTATCATATTATTTTAGTTAAAACTCATACATAACTACAAATAACTAATGTTAGGGAAATCTGTTAATGTTTTGTTGCGCGTTTATGGAAAAAAAAAATATCGGCCGATATATCCGGATATCGGATTTTAAAACCAACAAATATTTGTATCGGTATTGGCCTTCAAAATCCTTTATTGGTTGGGTTCTAGTTCACGCTACATGATTTTAAGCCTGATTTGCAAATCGTTGAGCTCGCCGATAGGTCAGGGTGTTATCGTGTGCAAATCGCGGGGGATTAGCGGACGATGAACGCTCACTAATCTATTAGTATAAAAGAGCCAACAACGCATTAAAAGCCCGGAAAAATATCTAGCATGCTAAATATATCCACAGCTGTCGCATGACTCATCCTCAGTGATGTCATGAGCTACAGCCAATCAGAGCAAGGCATGGGTTGAGGTCACCGGGTAAATCTTATTTTTTCTTTTTTTTGCATTTTTTCTCAGAGCAAAACAGTTTGAAGCACTAGTTTCTGTCCGACGTCCATAGTCACGTGTTGTGTTCTTCGTCTTCTTTGCTGGGTATAGAGTGCCGAAGTTACGACGTCACTCTGTAGGCCAAAACGCGGAAGTGGGTTAGCATTTTAGCACTCCCGGTTCCCTCGCCTTAAAGTCCATGGAATTTTTGAATGGGTTTTTTGCTAAATCGCCTGAAATAAGGTCTGTGGTGAACAAAGCCTCTAAATATTTTCACGTTTTATCTACGACATAGAATACATCAGCTATAACCGTATTCACTTGCAAAGATTATCTTGATAGACAAAACGTGTAAGGGTCACAACTCTTTGTTAAACACAGATCTTATTTTTTTGCGATTTTCCAAAAGTCGCCGCTAGCTTCTGAATTGTCCTACAAAGTGACGTCATCACTTCGGCACTCTATTGATGCGCGTGTTGTTTCGCATCATTTCCGGTTAGTTTTTTCGCATGATTTTTTGGGACAAAATGGGGTTTGTAGACAAGATAGAATCGTTGTTGTCAACTCGTGTAGTGCGTTACCTCCTGTTGCGGATCAATCACGTTGTGTCGTGTGGTGTGAACGGCTCAACTACTTGAACACTCGTGATTTCACAGAGAGCAAGTCATGTAGTGTGAACCGCACAGTTCAGCCCCGCGTTTTAAAATAATTTAGTGTGAACTAGGCTTTAGTGGAACAATAAGTGTGTTTTGGGTTTGTTGCTTTGAAATGTTCTTGAGCTCTGTTCCAACACTTAAAGAGCTTTCTCACTGCCTACATAGGGAGCTTCCTAAATGTAATATATCCTCATATTGCTGGACTGGAATGCTCTACAACTCACCAACACACACCACACAAATGAGGCATGAGTGCCTCTTCACTTTACAACTGACGTTAATGTAATGCTTTACTTGTTTTCTGCTGTGTCCAGATGAATTGTTAGTGTGACAAGTCAACAGAACATTTGTTCTAACTAAATTTCATTTATTTGTTCACAGAGACATTAAGCCAGACAACATTTTACTGGACGAGCACGGTAAGCCCCACAGATACTATACATTACCATCACACTAGTGCTTCTTGTTAAGACGAGCATTACTAGAACTGTTGCTCAGTTTGACTTTGCCCTTCAGAGGTATCTTTCATGTCTTGAGAAGAGGCGTTGAAACGAGGGATAAAACAAAACCCCATAGAATTAGAGTTCATTAAAGGAAAGACCACAGCCATATCGGCCCTGTTTAAGGGAGATTACACCTGGTGTTTTAATCGGTCTCTTTTGTCCACTTTCAACCTGGTTTCTTCGAGGGGAGGGTCTATGGGTTATGTACCAAACCTGCAGTTCATCAGGTAATCAGCAGCTGTCCACACACACTATACCGTAAATTGCGCGTATTTAAACGCGCTATTGAATGGGCCTCCACCTCTCGCTGCTGATGCTATGACTGTTTGAAATGATCCTGATCCTGACATTTAGCAGATTCTGTAAGGTGTTTGTAGACTTTTGAGCGCGACTCTAATTTTAGGCTCTTTTTATTGTGCACATTTTAATTTAAACATTTAAACATTTTTGCCTGTGGTATCTGACCCTGCGTCCCAATTTTCATATTATCTGCCCTTGAGTTGTTTCTGATATTAGAATTGGTGAGTCCCGAATTCTTATGTTGATGCACACAACGGCGCTTTGGATGAGGAATTAGTTCAGAACTACATGTCTCCCTTATCCTTATCCGATTCGTGATTAGAAACATCTGAGTCATGCAGTTGTGTGCGGTGTCTCCAGGACTGATTTGAGAATCATTGATCTAGACAAGCATCACCTACCATTCCTGTCCTTCACTATAAGCCCTAAGGTAAACATCTGCTCCTGTGCTGAAGAACATCTCAGAGGAGGTTTTGTGATCTAGGATTGCTTCTGTCTGTACAGATTAATGTCACTGGTCTCAGAGCAGTCATTTCAAATATATTATGAAGACACTATATCATGAAAAGAGCGAACAGTTGCTTTCATCACACAGCACTGAAGGCCTGTGAACACTAAACAGTTATTGTAGCTTTGACACTTACTTTTATGACCCTTATGTATTGCCTCTCCATTTCACACTTGCTCTGAGTGAACTCATTTTTATTTGTATTTGGTTTCTTTTGGTTTATTTGTACTTTTGTCATGTACTAATTTAGTTTGTGTATATATATATATATATAGGTGCTCTGGAGAAAACAGTGATGTTACCGAAAGCATCGTTAGCCAAATATGGTCGCAAGTTCCGTCGTTACCAATTGAGTTCAATGGAAATTGAACCAACTTGCGACCATAGTTGGCTAACGATGCTTTCGGGAAACGCACCCCAGCTCAGTTCATTTCTCATATAATGGTGTCAATGCAGGTAAATCAATAATATTGTTTAATATTAAATGTTATATGTCCCCAACTAAGCAAGCCAAAAGTCAAAGGCGACAGTGGCAAAACAAAACTCCATCGGGTGACAGAATGGATAAAAAAACTTTTTTCCTAGGGAAGAAAGAGGCTGGAACCGGCGAACATTAAACATACCTTTAATAATAAATTAAACATAAACAAGAGAGTGAAAGAAAAGCAGCAGCTCCTCACTAAAGTAAAGCGGCAGATCTAGTCCTCTCTCATCCTTCACTGTCGTCACTCCTCCTATTATACTTCCCAGACTGATCTCATGAAGTAGCGTGTGTATGACACGCCAATTTGTATTTCCATTTTTGCCGTGCTATCAAGATGCAAAATCGCTTTTCAGCGTGTTTATGAACGCCGCTGACGTTATTACTGTATATATAAATATATGACTTACCTCAACCCCGTCCCTAAACCTAACCGTCACTGGGGTTAATGGCATTTATGACTGTTCCCTTACCATCCTAGGGAAAAAAAAGATCGCTCCCCAGATGTAGATTTACATTTTGCTTCGTTTTGAGCGGACATTTGACGGCATGTACAGACACACGCGGAATCACTCGGACGTTAATGGCGTAGACATACACGCGGATACACGCGGATAGCTCAAAATGCATAGAGATAACACGCCACTTGAATTGAAAGTGGCGTGTATGTTTACGCAAAAGTCATGATGTCATGTTGTATTTCTGGAGGTCGTCGGTGGGACTTGAGATTGGTGTGGCGTGCAGGTGACGCTCATATCCTCGCTCCGTTCCCATGGCTTTCGGCCCTCCTCATTCGAGAAGCCGGCAGGAGGAGAAGACGACTCCTCCGCTCCCTCATGGACCACAGCCGCCCCTCAAGAACAAAGGCGGCCGGCAGCGAGTTCGTCCGTGAGCGTTTACACTACAAAACCAATCCGGTCGAATGCGTTTTCAACTTCCTCTGGGAGTAGTGGAAAGTGGATGAGCACAAAACATTTTAGACCCGTTTACACCTGTATTTAGAGTCGTCCACTTGTGATCCGATCGACCAAAACGCATCTTAATCTTAATTCCAGGTGTAAACAGGCCCTTAGAGACCAGACCAGAATGCATAGAGATTTGGTAGGGATGCACGATATATCGGCCACATTATCGGTATCGGCCGATATATGATCATTTTTAATGTTATCGTTATCGGCCCAACAAGAACATTTAGCCGATATCTAAAAGCCAATAAATAATCTATTATTTCCTTCAGCTGAGGCACTTTAGATGCGCACTGTTCAACATGATGCTTTTAAATTGCTTGAAATATGATTGAAATCACTTTAAAAAGTAAAATCTAGTTAAAGTGCAAAATGTGCAGCGTTTGTCTGTCATATCGGCTACACAGCATTAAAATAAGAACATCATAATTGTGTTTGTATCTTGGCTTTTAAGGAGGAGACTTTTTTTGATAATCAGGCTCTCAAGAATTGTCTAAAAACGTGGATTTAGATTTATCGGCCGATATATCGGTTATCAGCTTTCAAATACAAAGAATTATCGGTTATCAGTATCGGCCAAAATTGTCATATCGGTGCATCCCTAAAATTTGGAGTTGTGTGGGGTTTGACTTTGACAAAATCCCTTTGAGGGAAAGTCATCCCACTCTGTGGCCATATTTGCAATGCCTCTGGGTAACTGTTTTGAACAAACACCTATCTGTTTGAGTGGGAAAATATTGAAATCTCAAAAACTGCTCCTTCATGGACCCAGAACCCAGGCGGCCAGCAGTGAGTTTGTCCTTCCCCCTGGCAACTCACTCCAGCACACACACATATATATATATATATATATATCCACCAGCTCAAGTGGCCATGGCGACAGACTCTACACAGCCCTGCTCGATGTCATTCAGATCCCCCACAGCGGCGAGGGCTCTTTGACAGCATGTTCCTTATTCCTCATGGGTTTTGGTACCAGTGTTACAAGGTTAGATGTTGTGGGTAGAAAGAGCCATGAACACGCGAATATTTAACAGTCTTTAACACATAAATAAACACAAAACGAAAGTAAAGGTGGCAGTCGTCCGTTCTGCATACACATAAACGAAACATACCATAATGTTCAGGCCTGGTCCTCTCTCATCCTTCACTGTCGTCGCTCCTCCTTTTATGCTTTCGTAGCTCCTCTGTGTGATACGAGGCCGGTGCGGCGCAGGTGACGCTCCTTAGTAATCACGACACCTGGCTCTCTGCCTCGTCCTGCTTGCAGAAATGACACTGCACTCTTTCTCCCCCCCTCCACCGGTGGGGCATCATGGCGACCACAGCACCTGGGGGTAAGGACTGATGAGGCAAGAGAAAAAAGGAGATAGAAGATAAGGAGGGACAAAAGCAAGAGAGATGGAAAAAAAAAAAAAAATCTGGGTCCGGTTCCCAAAACGCACTGCCATCTGGTGGATTTCCCCTTTCACACAGGCTGATCCCGGAAAATTGACACAAAATTGCCAGAGTGCCTTCTGTGTGAACGCAAACACGTCCCGGTGACACTGAAGCTGAGATCGTTCGCCAGCTAGTGGAATGGCAGGTGATGCGCTAGTTTATGATCGAATCAGAAAAAAATACACGAGCATGGTTGAGAGAGAGAAATCGCAGATCATAAGCAAACTTAAGACGCTGTGGAGACATTACACGTCACACCGATGTCACATGTCTGTGTGTGAACGTGCGCACAGGTTCCCGGAAAATCACTGGCAGTGTGAATGAACTAAAATCATACAATCCCGGGACAAATTATCGGTGTATTTCCCGGAATCTCTTTGTGAAAAGGGCTTTTGACTGCTCATCCCCCCTTCCTTCCGGCTTTGTTGATAAGGGAATAATGAGGCGGGACCCGGCGAACGTTAAACATAACTTTAAAAATATCAAAAACATAAACAAAAATAAAGAATTTAAATGTATGACCATAAAAATGAATCAATGGTGTAAGAATACTTTAACGCACAATTCTGTGATTTTATGAAGATTCTTTTGAGATGTCCCTTGGAAAATCAAGTAATCATTAAATACAGTGGTATATAAAAATATACCAACTGATACCACCATTGTGGCATTGTAACTCCAAATTACGTTTTATAAAGAACCCTTTCACACAGCAAAGGCATTTTACATCAATGAAGCATTCATACTTCTTGTGACAAAAAGGTTAGTTCACCCACAATTGTAAAATCTGTAATCATTTACTCGCCGTCATGTTGTTTTAACTCAGTATCATGTGCTTTGTTTTGTGGAAAAGAAGATATTTTGAAGAATGTTGGTAACCAAACAGTTTTGGTGACATTGTCTTCCAATGTATGGACAAAAAAACAAACATATTTTAGCCATTTCACAAAATATGCTCTTTTACTTTTCACTGAGTCATACAAGATTGTAAACATTACCAAAGTGAGTAAATGAAGACTGCCTACTGCTGATGAAGCCTATGGCAAAACATCCGATGCTTTTGACTGAAAATCAGCCTTTTAACGCCATCTGCTCGGCTTACAAACACTTGTACACTGTGCTCTTTTGAACCCCTAAAGGGTGTCTGTAAACCGCTGACTCCTGCAGACCTCACGTCTAGGGGAGGTGCTCTCCACAGCTCAGTGGACACATGGGTGTTTAT